AGGATGCTAGAAGATGGAGTTTTGTTCAACGATGATGTATTGGGTAGAAAAGGCTGCACCTTAGGGATGAAATACGGACAGGCTACCAAATCACAGCAAGTAGAGGCTTTTCCATGTGCGAGACCTAAACGACACTTCTGGATGTTTTTTTTTTAAAATTTTCAAAATTCGACTGTTATTTTCTCTCCTCTGTGGCATGCTGTGCTAAACCAACTAATATATCAATATACATAATTTTAGGCTTGCCTTTCTCTTCTAGTCTCCTGGTCACGGATATTTTTTGCACTTTATATTCCTATAATTTCCATATCGCTGATGAATAGCTTCTCTGCCGGCAGCTGAGCAAGTCATCAGTAGAATCTCGCTGTTTTTGACAAGATTCAGAAATTGTAGCGGAGAATGGAAAGTATTCACTGGCAATGAAATGGGTGCGCTGATGTCCTGGTGGGTTTGGTTTTGTTGGCGAGAGAGGAATCCGAAAAGCGATCCATCGGATGTATACATTGTCACCAGCACTGTATCCTCATCAATATCGCGCACCATTGCTGCAAAAGAAGGTTAAATTTTCAGAATATCCAGGAAATCATCCAATGAAAGGATATGTGGAAAAACAGTTTTCTGTAGACTTCAATAGCAGCAGTTTTAGGATTCAAGACTGTACAGTGCTTGACGGGATTCAAGTGGCTGGGCAACAAAACCGATGAGCTTCGTCGTCAGGGCAAAACAGTGCTGCTGGCTTGGGAGGAGTCCATTGGCTTTATGTTCGGTCATTCTCTGGATAAAGATGGCGTTACTGCTGCGGCAACATTCGCCGAAATTGCTTCATATCTTCAGTCGAAGGGAGTGACTCTCAGCGAGCAACTTATCAAAATATATTGCGAGTGAGTTCTGAGTAATTCAGGCGAGTGAGTTCTGAGTAATAACCTGGGATAATGTAGTAAAGTGCATTTTCACTTCTGCCGGTATCAGACCAGAACTGATACTTAGTGAGTGCCCCTTTTGCGGTCACCAATTCGTTTCGATGGCTACTCAATACGGCGCAATTTTAGCGTGTTAGAAGTTTTAGACTCACTAAGTTTGATTTTTAGGGCATATTCGAAAGAAGAAACCAGCGACAGTTCTGCGAGCGAGGGGCAACTATTAATGATAAAACATGCTAAAAATTAGAATG